TCTATGCCTATACTCTGAAGAGTTTTGATCAAGAAAGGATGCTTACAGTTTCAGTTTAAAGTCAAGTTTTCTCGTATAAGAATTGCTACTCAGGTGTTCTTTTGACATCCATTAGTATGATAAATGGTTCTTTATCCCCTCACTTTCAGTCTGCAGGTGTGAAATGAGTTTCATGTAAGCAGCATATAGATGAGTCTTGGTTTTTTTTATCCAGTCTGGTACCCTGTGTTTTTTTATTGGAACATTTAGTCCATTTACATTCAGAGTAATTATTGATAGATATGTACTTAGTGCCATTTTATTACTTGTTTTGTCATTGTTTCTGGTGATGTTCTCTGTTCCTTTCTTATTTGTGTCACTTTTGGTCTTTCCTTTCTACTCAAGGAGTCCCTTTTAATATTTCTTTCAGAACTGGTTTAGTTTTTGTTTGTCTGGGAAACTCTTTTTCTCTCCTTCTCGTCTGAATGATAGCCTTGCTGGATAGAATATTCTTGGCTGCACATTTTTCCCATTCAGCACTTTGACTATGTCATACCACTCCCTTTTAGCTGGCCGTGTTTTTGTTGAGAAATCTGCAGCTAGCCTTATGGGTTTTCCCTTGTAAGTTAAGGACTTCTTTTGTCTTTCTGCTTTTAAGATTTTTTCTTTATGACTATATTTTGCAAATTTAGTTACAATATTTTTGGTGTTGGCCTGCTTTGGTTGATTTTGATGGGAATTCTCTGTGCCTCCTGGATCTGGATGTTTGTTTCCTTCTCCAGATTAGGGAAGTTTTTTGCTATTATTTTTTCAAATAATTTTTCTGCTCCCTTTTCTCTCTTCTTCTTCTGGGACTCCTATAATACAAATGTTATTACTTTTGATGAAGTCACTCAGTTCCATAAGATGAAGTCTATTCTAGTGTTCCATAATTCTTCTCTCTTTTGTTCAGCTTCCTTATTTTCCGTTATTTTGTCTTCTATATCAATAATTCATTCGTCGTTTTCTTTCAGCCTGCTGTTCATTGCCTCAAACCTGTTTCTAATCTCACTTATTACATTTTTCACTTCTGACAGATTCTTTTTAACTCTCTTATTTCTGTGTTATGGGTCTCCCTGAAGTTTTCCATTCTTTTCTCAAGTCCAGTGAGTATCCTTATGATGCTTTAAATTCTCCATCAGGCATGTTACTTATATTTGTTTCACTCAGATCTCTGGCTATGACCTTGTCTTGTTCTTTCATGTGGGATGAATTCTTCCATCTTGGCACTTTGTCTAGGTCTCCGCCTCCTCCTCTTTCCCCTCCTCCCCCCTCCCCCTCTTCCTCCTCCTCCTCCTTCTTCTTCTTCTTCTTTCTTCTTCTTCTTCTTCTTCTTCTTCTTCTTCTTCTTCTTCTTCTTCTTCTTTTTCTTCTTCTTCTTTTTCTTCTTCTTCTTTTCTTCTTCTTGGCTTCTCTCACTTTAGTTGTGGAATTTGTTCTGTCAGTCTTCAGGTTCATTTCTGGGGTATTTAGGATGATTGTTATCTACTTCTGTTTGTGGGATGAGATGAGCCTAGGGTCCCCCTATCCTGCTTCCATCTTCCTCTGTACAGTGATCTTTTTAACTCTCTCAAAAACTCCTATGTGGAGTTTCATGAGATTGTGTATGCTGATCATGATAGGCTGGATAACAGCCCCCAGAGATATCCAGGTCCTAATTACTGGAACCCATGAATGTTATAGGGCCAAATGGACTTTGCAGATACGATAAGGATTAAGGATTTTGAGATTGAGAGATTATCCTGGATTCTCCTGGTCGACCCTAAATATAATCACAGTGTCCTTATAAGAAGGAAATAGATGTTTGACAGGAAAAGGAGAAGGTGATGTGACTGGAAGCAGAGAGTGGCATGATGCACTCTGAAGGTGTTGGGAGGGGCTACAATCTGAGGAAAACATAAAATTGCTAGAAGATGAAAAAAGCAAGGAATGGTTTTTCCCCTCAGGCCTCTAGAAGGAGTCAGCCCTGTCTATGCTTGACTATAGTCCAGTGAAACCAATTTCAGACTTCTGGCACCTAGAAGTGTAAAAGAATACATTAGTGTCTTAAGCCGTCAAGTCTATGATAATTTGTTATAGCAGCCATAGGAAACTAATACAGATTTTGGTACGTGGAATAGAGGTGCAGCTGTAAAACATATCTAAATATGTGGAAGCGGCTTTGGAATTGGGTAATGAGTAGATAGAAGAATTTTGAGGTGCAACATAGAAAAAGCCTAGGTTGCCTTGAGTGGACTGTTGGTAGAAACACAGATGTTAGAGATGCTGCTGGTGAGGGCTCAGAAGGAAATGAGGAGCATGTTATTGGAAAATGGAGGAAAGACAATCATGGCAGAAAGCTTGGCTGAATTGTGTCCTGTCCTTATACCAAAAGCAGAACTTGTAAGTGGGGAACTTGGACATTTAGCTAAAGGGATTTCTAAACAAAGTGTTGAAGACATGACCTGGTTTCTTCTTGTTGCTTATAGTAACATGTGAGAGGGGAAAGATAAATTGAGGAAAAAATTGTTATGTAAAAGGGAAACAGGACTTGATGATTTGGGAAATTCTCAGCCTATCCAGGTAGCAAAAGTGCTAAAATTAGGAGATTCACTATTAGGAAAGTGCTAAAATTAGGAGATTCACTATTAGGAAAGTGTGCTCTGGAGAAAAGGCAAGGATGTGGCTGGACAGTGTTTTGTGCTGAAGAGATTGGGTGTGATACTCATGGCTCCCCTCAGTCATCTTAGCAGAAGTCAGAAATAGAAATAAGATTATTCCGGAAGGACCCATGGAGGAGCCTGTTGCTTAATGGAATGAGTCTCTGTGGCTTGCAGGGAGACTCACAAGGTTTTTGAGGATGTTATACCAGTAGGAACATTGTCAGTTTGAACAAAGGGACACAGAGAAAACAAAAAGAAGAAAGGCTGCTTGGAGTGCCTGGGTGGCTCAGTTGGTTAAGCGTCTGCCTTCAGTTCAGGTCATGATCTCAGGGTCCTGGGATCCAGCCCCATGTCAGGCTCCCTGCTCAGTGGGGAGTCTGCTTCTCCCTCTCCCTCTGCTGCTCCCCCTGCTTGTGCTCTCTCTCTCAAAAAGATAAATAAAATGTTAAAAAAAAGAAAAGAAAAGAAAAGAAAAAAGGCTGCTGGACTCCCAAAACCCTACAGGCAGGAAAGAGACTGATGAAGCTATTCAGCTGTGAATACATGCTACCTTTCCTAAAAAAGAATGATTCAGGCTGAAACACAGGCCAAGAGGATGGAGCCTTCTGCCACAGAGGATTATTCCTAGGTCTTGACACCTAATAGGATTTGCCCTGTGGGATTCCAAAATTGCTTGGGACTGGTGACTCCTGTTTTCCTTCCACTTTCTCCCTTTCTGAATGGCAGTGTCTACAACTCTTACACTGTGCCTGTCCCACCATTGTATTTTGGGAGTAGAGAACTTGATTTCTAGTTTCACAAGTCTGCAGATGGAGAGGAATTTTACTCCAGAATGATGGATCACACCAAAGTCTCACCCATAGCTTGTTTAGCTGATTTAGATGATGAGGTTTGAGACTTTTGAGTTGATGATATTTTAGATGAGCATTTGGACATGGGTTGATGTTGTAATGTGCTGAGATTTTTGGATGTTGGCATGAGGTGAATGTATTTTGCATGTGGGATAGATGTGAATTTTAGGGCAGGCTGTGATGAGCTGAAAAATGGCTACCAAACATATCTAGGTCCTTATTCCTGGAACCTGTGAATGTTATTTCATATGGCAAAATGAATTTTGTAGATCCTTCAGTTAAGGATGAGAAGATTATTCTGGTTTATCAAGGTGAGACCTGATGTACTTTGAAGATGGAGGAAAGAGCCACCAGTCAAGGATACAGGCTACCACTAGTGGTTGAAAAGGGCAAGAAAATGGGTTTTCCTCTTGGTTCCCTCAGATAGAATCAGCCTTGCCAACACCTTGACTTTAGCCCATTGATACCAGTTTCAAACTTCTGGATTCTAGAACTGTGAGAGAATAAATTTGTGTTGTTGTCCGCCATCAAAGTTTGTTACAGCAGCCATAGGAAGTTAATACTTCAACCTTCAGATTAATTTGGGGCTTATTTACAACTTATAATATTCGGTTGTTCCATCTAGGAATATGGTAAGCCTTTCCATTTATTTAAGTCTTTTATTTCTCTCCAAGTGTAATTTTATTCAAACAGGTCTTGCAGATTTTGTGATGACATTACTATGGGTGCTATAGTGAATGGAATTATTTTAAACACTTTTTTTTTAAAAGGGAAAAGCTGGGCGCCTGGCTGGCTCAGTTGGAGGAGCATGCAGCTCTTGATCTCGGGGTCATGGGTTCAAGCCCCATGTTATGTGTAGAGATTACTTAAATGAATAAATATTAAAAAAAGAGAAAAGCTATTTTTGAATTTATTTTGAAGGATCACAAGGGGTAAAGCAAGTGACGGCTCATCTATTGGAAATGAATTTTTCTTTCTCTAGAGTAGAAATTTTAATGGAATATGGTCTCTTTGGGATTAGGTATCACATATAATATTTATTTGTCTTCAAAATTTTAGCACCATTTTAGGAACATGGTGAATGTCCCAAAGTGCTATGCTAGTTGAGTATCATCTATCTTGAAATTCAGTGAAAACAACCTTAACAAATCTTCTACACACAGTCTTTTTTTTTTTTTTTAAGATTTTTTATTTATTTACTTGAGAGAGAGTGAGCAAACAAGAGAGAGCATGAGTGGGGGGCAAGGGCAGAGGGAGGGGGAGAAGCTGACTCTTCACTGAGCAGGGAGCCCAATGTGGGGCTCAATCACAAGACCCTGGGATCATAACCTGAGCTGAAGGCAGACTCCTAACTGACTGAGCCACCCAGGCACCCATTCTATACACAGTCTTTATAAACTCCAGATATATAATAGTACCTTGTAAATAGTTGAGCATATTTCTTAGTCTTTGTCTTATTATTGTGCATTTTATTGTCCTATTCCTTCAGATGCAAGGCTGGCTCTGAAAAAATATATTGCAAAGGTCTCTGCAGCGGTTACAGACACAGAAAAGGGACCAGGGAAGCTCTTTAAGGAAGACAAGGTACTGCATTATGATTATTGTTTGTTCAGAAGTCTTTTGAGATTTTTGCCTTACATCTTTAATTTCTATACTAATGCTCTAGAGGTAGGTGGTGGTCCTTACTGCTGTCTTCTCCCTCCCTCCCTTCCCACTTTCCTCCTACCCTTCTTCCCTCCCTCCTTCCTTCCTTTGCTCTTTCCTTAATAAACAACTAGGAAGAGATAGACTGATAAAAATTAAATGAAATAATATAAAGGAGTGACATAGAGATGTATGTACTAAGTATTACACTCAACAACATGAATACTTTAAAAAAAAAGATTTATTTATTTATTTATTGAAAGAGAGAGAGCACAAGCATGCATGAGCAAGGGGGGAGGGGGAGGGGCAGAGGGACAGGAGAGAGAGTGTTAATCAGACTCTGCATCCTGAGTAGGGAGCCCGATGCAAGGCTGTATCTTGACCCTGAGACCACCATCCTGAGATCATGACCTGAGCCAAAAATCAAGAGACAGGTGCTTAACCAACTGAGTCAGCAGGCACCTGAACATGAATACATTTTTAAAATATATTGTTGAGTGAAAAAAAAAATCAGCAAAGACTACAGAGATTTTCATAAACTTCAAAAGCAAGCAAAATAAAACTATATGGTTTAGGGATACCTACATATAGGGTAAAACTATTAAAAAAGAAAGCAAAGTTATAAGCACAGATTGTCATTATCTCTTGGAGGAGGAGAGGGGGATGAATTATGGGCGGGGCACAGAAATAGAGTTATTCTGGCAATGTTCTAGTTATTCTATTGATTAGTTGGGTCTACTGATACTCATTTCATTAAGTTTTGCTTTAAAACTTACATATATATCATATTTTAGTTTCTTTGTATATACAAAGAAGTATATTACATATTCAGATGAGATCTATATATTACATATTCAAACTTTACATAATGATAAAAAAAAGATACACAAATATAAGGATAGTTAATTGTAAAGCTGACTTCCCACATTTACCATATACTAAGTTCTGCATGTGGACTAGTTTATTGCTTTGGATATACACTAAAATAAAAATATATGTTCCAGGTACCAGAACTGTGTTTTGGTTTTAAATTATCTCTCTCAGGGCGCCTGGGTGGCTCAGTCAGTTGGGTGACTAACTCTTGATTTCAGCTCTGGTTGTGATCTCAGGGTGGTGGGATGGAGCCCCACATAGGGCTCCCAACTCAGTGGGGAGTCTGCTTAAGATTCTCTCTCTCTCTCTCTCGGTCTCCCCCTCCCCCTACTTGGGCACACACTGTCTCTCTCAAATAAATCTTTAAAAAAAAAATTATCTCTTGCATTTCTGTGCAGGATATTCTGTGAATTCCCTGTGATTTATAATTCTCATGAAAAAGAATTAGCTATTGCTCAAAGTGTAATACATCCCCACGTCTGAGAACATGATAAATTACACATTTCATGTGGTTTATAAAACACTTTACAAAATCTCTTATGAAACCAACAAAATATAGGCAAAATTCTATTAGAATAGCTATTTCAGCTATTGGATCTGGGAAACAAAAATTTCCTGCCACAGACAGTGCCTTGTCCAACTAGTTACTATAAAAACTTTTTAAATTTCAGTGTTTAAATATTTGGTTATTTGAACTAGAAAATACTGTGTACATATAGTAACAATTAGAACAAAATTGAAATGCCTAAAGCAAACTTAATAGCTTTCTCTCTTCCCATTTCCAGTCTTACTATCTTACCCTATGGTTCTGATAACAATCTTTATTTTTTTTTTTAAAGATTTTATTTATTTGACAGAGAGAGACACAGTGAGAGAGGGAACACAAGCAGGGGGAATGGGCGACGGAGAAGCAGGCTTCCCGTGGAGCAGGGAGCCTGATGTGGGGCTCGATCCCAGGACCCTGAGACCATGACCTGAGCCGAAGGCAGACGCTTAATGACTGAGCCACCCAGGCACCCCAACAATCTTATGTTAATTTTGCCATACTTGTCCTATCACTTATATAAATATATGTACGCACACATATGGTTTTATAAGGTTTTGTTTTTCTAAAAGTGGGATTACACTATACATATTATTCTTTTTTTAAACTACATATTATTCTTTAATTTGTTTTTTTTCCTTTTAATAATATATTATGGACATCTTTCCAAATCCACTTGATTCTACATATGTCTGCATACAATACTGCTTATTTAATAATATGGACAGGCTATGCAATAAATGCATTCATTTCTCTTATTATAAACCATAGAACAAGTAAACATCTTAAAGCAGACACCCTCAGTTTGCTGTGCATGGGCAGAAATAGCTTTGCAATGCAAACAGAGACGTTTTCAGTGAGGTGGAGCTCTTCTGCAATTTCTTGCACTTCCTCTCCTCTGAACCATCTGAGAGGGAATAAAATAGCATTGTCTGTTGAGTTGCGTCCGGGTCATACCAACGACCTGTTCTCCAACCTTTGCAAACATTTCTCTTTATCACAGGGCCCAATGAGACTAAAGAATTAGGGAGAGGGTGTACACTGGCCCAAGACTTCATGACTCTAGCTTATGAGTTTTATTATATACAACATTCCACTAATGTTAGAGCTGCTCTGTCCAACATAGCAACCACTAGCCATGTGTAGCTGTTTTAAGTTAGAATTAATTAAAATTAAATAAAATTAAAAATCCAGTACCTCAGTCAGACTAGCCCCTTTTCTAGTACTCTATGGCTATAAATGTCAAATGGTGACTGGTTTGGACAATGCAGATAGCACATTTCCATCATCACAGAAAGTTCTGTTGCACAGTGCTAGTTTAGAGATACTATAGAGTTTTATTTTTCAATAAACAAGTAGAAAATAAACTCTTTGTTTCTGTCTCTAGAATACCATCCTCACTGCATGCCATGTAAAAAATGAGTGGTTGGAAACCCATTTGGAAGCTTCCATTAACGAGATTTTTGAACAGAAACAACAATTGGAAGATACCGTGACTCCTATCTTCACAAAAATGGCAACACCACGTAAGTTTTGGATGAAAATGGTTTGAATGTCAGAAAAGATGAAGATGAAGTTCAGTGTTGTTATTTCTGAGATACTCTGATTTTAACAATCTTCATTAAGTAGCCATTAACCTTTTATCAGCACATATACAAGTATGATATAACTCCCTAGGTTTATTACTAGTTTCAGTATTAAGAATAAATAAAAATAATAACTGAATTATTTCTATAGAGAATGTCTAATACTAATCTTAATATTGTTACCATTACTTGTTATTTAATTTTATATAATTTACTATGCCTTTGATTTTCAACTAGGAAGGCATGTCCTCCTAGGAGCTAGAGTGGCAGAATTTGAAAAAGCATTTTCAGTATTATAACTGCATTTTGAAAAGCCTGTTGGGGGAATACTATCCTGTTCCTGGGGAAGGTGCATTCAGAATCTTGGTGGCAGTCATACCTAAGAATTTTTAAAATACCGGCTTTATTGGGATATAATTCTTATACTATAAAATTCACCATTTAAAAATGTACAATTCAGTGGTTTTCAGTATATTCACAGAGTTACACAATCATCACCACCATCTAATTTCAGAACATTTTACCACCCCAAAAAGAAACACCATTGGCAATCACCTCCCACCTCCTACGAGCCTCCGGCAACCACTAATCTTTTCTATTTCTATAGATTTTCCTGTTCTGGACATTTCACGAATGGAATCATACAATCTGTGGCATTTTGTGTCTGGATTCTTTCATTTAGCATATTGTTTTCAAGGTTCCTCCATGTTGGAATTTGTTTCAATTTTCCTTTCTTTTCTGAATAGTATTCCATTGTATGGATTCATTCATTAGTTGATGGATATTCAAGTTTCCATGCTTTTGGCTATTATAAATAACAGTGCTGTGAGCTTTCCTGTACAAATTTGTGTGACTGCTTGTTTTCATTTCTCTTGGGAGAGAATTGCCGGGCTGTGCTTAATCATTTGAGGAACTGCTAAACTTGTTGCCAATAAGCAATATATATGAAGATTCCAATTTCTCCACATCATCATCAACATTGTTATTATCTTTTTAAAAAAATTTAGCCATCCTAGTGGGTGTAAAGTGATATCTTAATGTAGTTCTAATTTGCATTTCCTTAATTACTAATGATGTTAAACATCTTTTATGTGTTTACTGGCCATTTGTGTATTTTCTTTGGAGCGGTATCTATCTGAATCCGTTGCCCATTTTTAAACTGGTCTTTTTGTTGTTGATTTGTAAGAGTTCTTTATGTATTTTGGAGTCAAGTCCCTTATCTGATATATGCTTTGCAAATAGTTTCTTCCATTCTGTGGATTATCTTTTTGTTTTCTTAATTGTGTTCTTTGAGACAAAAAAGCTTTAAGTTTGAAGTCCAGTTTATCTGTTTTTCCTTTTGTTGCTTATGCTTTCAGTGTCATATCTAGAAACATTGCCTAATCCAAGGTCACCAAGACTTAGTCTTATGTTTTTTTGTAAGAGTTTTGTAGTTTTAGCTCCTTTTCTTTTAGCTCTCTGGTCTATTTTGAGTTATTTTTTATATATGAGGTGAACTCATTCTTTTGAATGTGGATATTGAGTACCAAAGACTTTTTTGTTTGTCAGAAGGGGCTCTGTTTTTTTCTGTCAGAATATCCCTTGCTGTCTTTCCCCGGTATATGTAGAGCTTATGCAGAGCACACGCTGAGGTCCCCTTAAGGGAGACAGAGGCTTTACACTGTCCTTGTCTGTAAGCAGCCCACCACCCAGTTTGTGGGTGAGGGTGCATACCTGAAAAGATAAACTCAGGGCTGTGTATATTCAAAGAAGCCTGAGTATGAAGAGGAAGCGTCATGAAGAAAGAGAAATTGCTGAAAGGATGGGGAGCAAGGGTGGGATATGAAGGGAATTCTGTAATGAAAGCCCAGTCTGATGATGAGAGGTTCAAACATGGGAACGGAGAAGTGGCCAGGATCCATCTGGCTGATTGTAGTTGAGTCTGTGAGGAATAGGAGAAGAGAAGGTTGGAAAGTTAACTTGCGCTCACTTCATTAAAAGTACTGAATTATAAGCTTAGAAGTTTGGTCTTTATTTCCAGGGCAGTGGGTTGCCATTAAAGGCTTTGGGGTAGCAGAGAAGAGGGATTAAGTAAGGGATAATACTATGGTTTTCCTTATAAAATGGATGAAGAAGAGACTGGAGGGAGTGAGACCATCATAGTCCAGGAGTGAGATGGCTAAGGCCTGAATTATTGATGGTACAGTTTGGTTCCCACCATCTCCCACTATCTACCGCTGCTGTTAGCCTGGCCCATCACCCCTTCCTGCTTCCCTTCCCATCTCTGAGGAAGATCACCTCTCCCCCCAGGTCTCCTACACCCCCTCCAAGCACCTCAGTATCTTATACCTTCATATTATAGAAGTGTTAGATCTTGGAACCTCTGAAATGATCCCCTCAGTTTACAGTGAAGAAAGTGAAGACCAAAGAAGTTAAGCAGTTTATTCAAATTATTCTATTCAATAGCAGAATTAGGAAGAATAATACCGATTATATTGGAAATGTGACCTCATACCTTTAAATATTAAAAAAAAAAAAGGGTAGGGGAGAATTCTTGAATTGATATACCAATACCAAGGCTTCATTAATGACTGGTTCAGGCTGGGACATACTCATTTATTTCCTGCCAATTATTTTAAAAACTGGCTTCATTTTTATTTTATATGACAAGTTAATTAAGTATAATTTTAAAATCTGCTTCCTTTCAGGTCAAGTGAAAAGTGCCAAATCTGTAGCCTAAGCCATGGTCAGAAAAGAAGTCAATCAAGATCATACCTTCTACTGAATATATATTTTATAAAAGACCACACTTCCTTCTAGTATTTATAAAAGCAAACTTATTCAATATGCCAGTTGAAGTAAAGAAAATCAATGTGAGGTTTTATAAAAAGGTTTAAGTATGAAATTAAATCACCCTTTTTAAAATTTTACCCTATTCAGCATGCTTATGTCCAGACACTCTGGCCTTGTCTCTGCTCCAAGTGCAGGTCCGTGTGAGTCCCGCATGCTCTTTCCAGAGAGCACTCGGGTACGAATCACTCACCAAGGCTCTCTGGGAGCTCTAATGTCTATATAGGGAATCTAACAGTTTTCTTTGTAACTGAGGCAGGACATTTCCATTCAACTGAGGAATTGTTAAAAAAAAAGATGTATTACCTAGGAAAAATTTGTTCTCCCTCTCTCAAAAGGAAAGCTATAGAATGCCATTCTAGAGCAAGGAAATATTAAGAATGGTTTGGATCAGGGTCCTTTTCTTGTACAGCTATTACTTTTTACGTCCAAATTAAAATTTACCTGTGAGGTGGTATTTAGTCTTTTAGTGAAACCTTCATTTCTTTATCTTTAACCTCCACCTCCTTGGTCTGTCTCTCTATACACACACACACACACACACACACACACACACACACCCATATTTAGATTTCCCATATTCTGTAGGTTTGGCAATATAGATATTTCAGCGGGACTCCATGGTATCTTTCTTTCTGTTCTGTTTTATACTTTTTAGGTTTTAAGTATCACTGCTGGTTTCATATTAGTGATTTGGAATGTCGTTTTTTCCTAGTTTATCTGAAAGCCCCCGAGACTTCCATTACTTTTGATTTTGTGGAAAATTTTTATAGAAAGAACATGTTTTTAAAAAAAACCCCACATTTATTTGTTGTTCTTAATGACTTTCTTTTTTGTCCTACCCCAAAAGCTAGTTTTTCATTATAGAGGGGAAGGAAAAGAAATAAGCAATTCAGTAATTCCTTGTCAGTTGACACTTTCTCAGCCATGGTTTTGAGATAACACTTTTAAAATTTGTGTCACAAATTTTTAAGTTTTGAGATAATTTTTATGCATGAGCGATTGAGTTTCAGTTGCCTTCAGCAAAAGAACAGGGCAGTAACTGCCACTCCCCTCTGGTAGACCCAGTGGAGTCCCACGAAGAAGGAGGTCTGCCTGTATTTGCTCAGTTCTCCTGCTGTGCGCTGCGAAGTCCGTTACCTTTAAGCACCACAGCAATTTGGGACAAGGCTAGTTGCCATTTTTACTGTTTCTGCTCTAACTTTCTGTTTTCTGAGCCTTGATCTTGAATATGACATGACTTCCCAGGCCTATGGTCCTGGTAATTAGGGGAGGATTCTTGAATCTCACTTCAAAGATTCCTAGATAAGACTGAGACACTTGTGGAGATGCCTAGTACAAAATAAACCTCTCTCTCCTTTATTTGTCTTTCAATCCTTATCTTCAAACTTCTTGAAGCTTTTAATGTATATGGTCATGTTGTCTTCTGGAAACTCCTTGATTGCCGCATTTTTGTCATTATGGTTCCTTTACCTTCTTCTTCTTCTTCTTTTTTTAAATTATTTATGAGAGAAAGAGAGAGAGAGTGCAAGCACAGGTGGGTGGAGGGGCAGAGGGAGAGGGAGAATAAGGCTCCTTACTGAGCAAGGAGCCTGACGTGGGGCCCAATCCCCGGACCCCAAGATCATGACCTGAGCCATAGGCAGACACTTAACTGACTGAGCCACCCAGGTGCCCCTGGTTCCTTTACTTTTTTAACAATCTCCTTTTCTAACTCCTTCACTAGTTTCTGTGGTCTGAATGTGTTTGTATCCTTCCCGCCGCCCCCAGATTCATTTGTTAAGATCTAATGCCCAGTATGATAGTGTTAGGAGGTGGAGCCTTTGGGAGGTCTCTTCTCATGAAAGAGACCTCCAAACAGTTCACTTGCCCCTTGCACCATGTGAGGTTACAGTAAAAAGACAGCCGTCTAGGAGATGGGCTCTCACCAGACACTGAATCTTCTGGTGCCATGATCTTGGACTTCCCAGCCTCCAGAACTGTAAGAAATAAATGTTTGTTGTTTATGAAGTACCCAGTTGATAGTCTTTTGTTATAGTAGCCCAGACCAAGACACCAGATCCTATTCTTCATCTTGCCTCCAGCAATGGAAACTTCTCAAAAGTCAGTCCTAGCTTACAATTTTATATATCAGGTATAGCTCAATAAAGCTGAAAAAAAAAAGCCAATTCTGACCCTTGGCCAATCAGTCTGTAATTCTCCACCCCCTGGCCTTCTCTATACCCAGTGTTAGGAAGATCTAATCCCTCCTTCTTTGGGGCACCTACAGTGTGAATAGCCACATACATATGTTTAATTGTTCACATGGTTGTCTCCCCATGTGAATTGTGAGCTTTTTGAGGGTAGGGGCTTTGTCATGTTTTTCTTCATACTCTTAGCCTGTAAGTTAGTAAGTTAATAAATAACAGTTGAATAAATTCTCTTTTGGTGCTACCTTATTCATGGAGCTCACTAGTCTTCATTCATTTATAGAACTTATTCACCTTTTCTAAAAACGACTCCTGAACCCTTCTCTGCGTATCTTGTTTGTGCCAGTGCCCCATTTTAACTCCCACTCCTCCAGTAAGCCAGCTGCATGCACACACAGCGTCATGACTATATATCTAGTTTCTCCTGTAACCTTCTATTTTCTGACCTTCACCTTGAATACCACACTACTTTGTAGTCATGTGAACTGGTGATTACCAAGGGATTCCTGGATCTCACTTCAAAGATTCCACTGATGTGAGGATCTGAGTTTTGAGAGATACAGTACTTCCTGTGATCTGTTATTGCATTGAATTACATGCCGCAGATGTTATCTGAACACCCACAGAGCTATTTCAGTTTGCATGCTAGTAAATTAAATCACATTATTTGAGAAGTGGTCAAGCAAAGGCTAAATTCAATGCTGTGATAAACTCTACATAGTGGTTCCTGAGACTTCTGTATTTTGACTGGAAAAATGAGAAAAAATGGAGGAGATTGAAATGACGTCACTAAGAAAACAAGTACTATCTGCTATCACTATAACTTAAAGAAAACATTTTAACATCAGAAAAGAAGGGAAAGTATGATTTCATTGTAAGGCTCTGCCCTTTAAATTGAATAAATTAAGCTTTATTATGGACTTTTATATTTTTCTCATTTTTCCATGTATGATGGAACTTTTGTCATGAATCACCACCGGTTTATGGTCCAGCCTTTGAGAACAACTGTCTAGACTGAGCTGAAGCAGGCAGAATGCTATTTAGATTAACATGATGCCCCAAGTTGTAAAGGGCTGACGGTACACTCTGATATTTGATCTAATATGTGGTACATTATATTCTCCAAGTTGGCCACATCTCCTGTGCCACATGCTCGTCTTACAATGTGATCATGACCTTCCTCGCAGAGAGATGTGGGTCTCTGTTCTCTCCTCTTCAATCTGGGAAGGCCTGTGACTATAGTGGAAGTAATACTACATGATTTCCGTAGATCATAAAAAGTGATGCAGTCTCCAGCTAGTTCTTTTGAGATGCTCAGTCTTGGAAACCAGTCTGTATGGAGAGACCCATGTGGACAGAAACTGAGGCCCCAACCTGAAGCCCTGTCTGAGTTGCAGCTAGCAGGCACCGCCAACCTGCCGCCATGTGAGTGAGCCATCTTGGAAGTGGATCCTCCAATCCAGCCACCGCAGCCAGTGCTATATGGAGCGAAGACAAGCCTTCTCTGTTGAGTGCTACCAAAATTGTAGATTTCAGCTAAATAAATGATTGTTGTTGTTTTAACCTACTAAGCTTTGTGTCTGTTTGTTATGCAGCAATACATAACATACAAATTTTGGACTCTGGAAGCGAGAAATGGATATAACAAATCCTAAAATATGTGGTGTTGCCTTTTTGGGCCTGGGTGACAGGCAGAAGCCCAAAGGGCCTAGAGGAGAGTGTCAGTGAAAGCCTGCAGAATGTTTAAAAGCCCCTAGGAGGTGATTAGTGGGAGTTTATAGGAAAGAGAGGAAAATGTTATTAGAAGCTGGAGAAGAGGGGCCCTTGTTATGTGATGGTGGTAAGTTCGATCACACTGTTGTCTAAGTAATGAACTCAGTGATCATGCTAAGGACTTTTCTAGACAGTAGTCAAGTGCCACTTGGCTTCTTCTGCTGGTGTGAAAGGAGAGAGATGAGCTGAAAAGGAACAGTTCATTTTTCAAATGAAAGTTAAAAAGTATAATGCAGCCAGTACTCACTGGGTTTGAAAATAAAATTGTTTCTCATGCCTAGCCTTTCTAGGTGGCAAAAAAGTCTCAAACTAAGAAATGGATTCTGAGAAAGGATAAAATCTCAGGTGGGATTTTGAGGTCATAAGACCTCAGAGATACCTAATGTGGTGCCTCCTGGAACTTCTGAGACTTGAGATAGGCTTTCTCAGTGCTTCTAGGAAGATGACCTCTGGCTGCTGTAGGCAATCATTGTCATAGCTAAACCAAAATGCAAAGAGAATAGCTCTCTGTCAATAATGGTATATATTAAGCTTAGGAACCATCTAATTGGTCCTATCTGAGTCCCATGCCCATCCCTGAACCAATCATTGTATAGGAGGATGAGAAACTATGACTAACCAGCCTTGTCTCAGTCAGATAATATCTATTATGAGAATATGGGGTTGGGGGAAACACCCTGGGCAGCCTTTCAGCCCTCAGCTCCTAAAGCTATCATAGTCTACTCAGCTGGCTCTATGCAAAGTGGTGAAATACAGATTTATTATTGCTTTTCTTTAAGCTCTATGGGAAAGATTGTGATGTAAAGAAATTCAGTCATCTCTGTATTTTAGTTATGTTCTATCTCTAGCAGAACTATGTGTAATCTAGAGCCAACTATGAATTTTGTCCGAGTTTTCTCAAGGTATGAGGATTTTTCTAAAAGCCATGGAGAATCTTGGGTGCCTGGGTGGCTTAGTTAGTTAAGCGACTGCCTTCGGCTCAGGTCATGATCCCGGAGTCCTGGGATCGAGTC